AAAAAAACAAAAAAAAAAAAACGATGCAACATTCTGTAAAGCCGCGAAAAAGACCTTCTTATGACAAATGAAATTTAGTGAGAAGCGACCTTAATATAAAAAAAACCACACATTTTCACATAGCCAAGCTATGAAAGTCTACTTAATCTGTCTATTCGACAAGTGCCTAAATCGAATGCTACTGCTTTCGATAATGAAACGTTAAGTTTGTGCAGATGCTTGCAACACCCAGGCGGACTTAAATTACATATAGCTTTTATTATGTAATATATTACAACCATCCGATGCTTGTCCATATACTTTTGCCTTTACGTTACAAGTCACTATTTTCGATCTGGAATTTCAGCAAAGTGCATATTTCGGCTGAAAGCATGAATTGAAACGGACTATATTTTTTCAATCACTCTTCATATAAAGACTTTTCGTAGGTCAGCTACCCACGGAATTCAGGTTTTTCCACTGCTTTACGAAAGGAAAAGTAGCGTCTCTAAAACGTCTATAATATGTAAACTAATGATAAGAATTTCATAAAATTTTGAAAGGTATTACTCTCTAGAAATCATATAAGTTGGTCAATTACGGCGACATTTATATGTCATCCTAAGAACTTATTCAGTGATATATTAGTTTGCGGAAAAAGAAATCCATTATTTTTTCGGTAGATGGCTGCACTGACAGATTTCTCGTAAATTATCGATCAAACAATTTCCGATACTGTACATTTACATACTGTACATTTCGCAGTAAAAAAAATTCTTTTGCTGTTTCTTGTTTGGTGCATTCAGTTGTGAGCTACAGCGTGTTAAAAATGGAAGTGAACAAAGAGAAAATTCGGTACATTTTACAGTTTTTCTTTGACAAAGACGAAAATGCAAGCCAGGCGGGTAAAATTGTGAATGGTGTTTATGGTTCCGTTCAGGAATTTTTGATGTTAAAGATGCACCTCGCATAGGTAGGCCGGTCGTCGAAAATGTCGATAAAATCGGAGAAATGATCGAAGTTGACCGGCATGTTAGCAGTCGTAACATCGCCCAGGAGCTAAAAATCGACCATAAAACAGTTTTAAACCATTTACACAAAGCTGGATTCAAAAAGAAGCTCGATGTTTGGGTGCCACACCAATTAACAGAAAAAAACATGATGGATCGAATTTCCATCTGCGAAGCCTTGGCCAAACGGAATGAGATAGACCCATTTCTTAAACGGATGGTGACTGGAGATGAGAAATGGATCACATACGATAACCCTGTGCGAAAACGGTCAAAGAGCGATGAAGCACTTCAAACGGCCAGGAAGGTTTTGCTATGCATTTGGTGGGACTGGAAGGGGATTATTTATTATGAGTTGCTTCCATATGGCCAAACGCTAAATTCTGATCTCTACTGTCAACAACTGAACCGTTTGAAGATAGCGAACGACCAGAAACGGCCAGAATTGGCCAACAGGAGATGTGTCGTGTTTCACCAGGACAATGCTAGGCCACAAACATCTACAGTGACTTGCCAGAAACTTCGGGAGCTTGGTTGGGAAGTTTTAATGCGTCCGCCATACAGTCCGGACTCGGCACCAAGCGATTATCATCTTTTTCTTGCATTGCAAAATTTCTTTAATGATAAAAAATTGGAATCTAGGGAGGATTGTGAAAATCGACTACTAGAGTTTTTTGCAAATAGAGACCAGGACTTCTATGAGAGAGGCATTTTGAAGTTACCTTTAAAATGGCAACAAATCGTACAACAAAACGGTGCATATTTGACCCAAATCGGACAATCCGAAGCATGTTAAATAAAGTCCTGAAGTTCATATAAAAATAATGGATTTCTTTTTCCCCAAACTAATATTATATTGACACTCCAAATGAATGTAAACAAGAAAATTATATTCGGTCTAGAGAGAATCTTTTATACCTATCACCATTATCCTGAAAAAGGCAAAAAATTTTCATGCTGTATAATAGTGAGTGGGCGCGGCTGATTTATTTCTATTTTCAAGATAAACGCTTTAGCCGCATTGGCGTTTGGGCGTTGTAGGTATGTCCTCCGAAAATTTCTACGCGACATCTTAATTTTCGTGAACGGGGGTACGTGTACCACAAATACTACACAGGCAAATGAACAGACGAACGGGGGGACATGTTCAGATGCATTCCAAATTTCACACTTGTCAAGCATTTATTTACTTTATGGGGTTTTTGAGGCTTGTTTCTTCGCCTTATAAAGGTATTGCAAAAAAAAAAAAATTTAATGTTAATACAATATAGCATTGGATAGGCGTGGTCAATTTTTCATCTTATAGAATGCGTGTTAGAATTTTTGTGCACTTATTTACTATAGTTTATGAGCAATGAGCAAAAAACCAATTTCTCATTCCTTTTCAATAACAGAGGTGTCCTCAGCTTATTTGGAGCTGTGGGCGTGGCCTCGAAAAATTGCGACCATTCTTAATGCAAACGTACGTGTAGGAACTTTCAATGTTTTTACTTAATTTGAAGTCGATAGCAGTTAGGATAACGTTGATAACAGACATTACACAGATAGTCATACGCACATACGCATATGTTCGATTTAGAATTTGATGCGGACAAACAATATATATAGCTTGTAAAGTCTCTGAGTTTTCCGTCTGTGCTTTGCAAATGTTTTGATGAAAAGAATATACTCCTCCCTCTTCGGCTATGGGTGTAAAAGTTAAACTTCTTCGGGGAGTGGCTGATTTTATCGATTTTTATAGAATATATTTGGAAATTTTTATGCTGTGTAGGTGTAAAAACATGTAAGTAATGGGAGCATTCTTTGAAATTTCTCCCATATCAATATTCTTATAAATCTGCATAAAATCTAATATTTAGTTTTGCACATGCGGTAAAAATTAGTTCACAATAAATTTGTCTGTATTTCCTAATGAAGGATAATTTTCATTATTCTATGGTAAAAACTAGTCCAGAATAATAATTTATTGTACAAAGTTTGAACCATACATTGTAAGTGTGTAAGTTCGCCCGAAGTCCGATTAAGAAGCTTACCTTCGTTAACAAGGAAAATGGCGCGAGTGAATCATGTTTACTATCGTAAGGACTAAGATAATGAATCCTGCACTGAAACTGTTCCTTACGGATGAATATGATAATATGCTCTAACCTCTACGGTTTCATATGCAGATTCTATACAAACAAATGGACGCCTTCAAATTGTCATCTCTTAGGATTTCTTAATCAAATCCCTATTAGACAATTGATTGCTATAGTTTAGTTTAGCCTCTCTTTCTCCTAGCTTAAGAAGTTAAAGGTAGTCCGCCCTCCTAGTACGGATGGTCACGGATCAACACGAAAGAAGAGAGAAAAAGTTTTCTCATTCCTTCCAGATGTACGTTCCACACGCATGACTTTACCAAAAGATCGGTTAATAATCATTCAAACATTACGTAGGAACATTTAAAAGTGTATCAAACTGCTCTGTGGGCAACCAAGCAAAAATTCATTAAAACATAAATTTAATATGCGGAAAATAAATAGATTTAAAACAAAATTTATGCTTTATTTTCCTTAAGCAATTGAATTCAATATTTTACATGTAACCCATTAAGCGGCAAGTTCAATAGCAATAGCCATCTAAAATAGCGATATATGTCTATGGACCGTAAAATTAAGTTTTACTACTTGTAAAATAACTGTACACGCATACTATGTATGTAAGGTATATTACTTCATTCATTTGCATACGCACGCACGCAAAACATTAACGCATTTGAAAGGAAATAAAATTTTTCTTCATATTTATCAAGTTTTTTGCTTAAGTCTTTTGAAATTCTTGCATTAGTTTTAATCGTTGCATTATTATCTGAAAATTTTTCATATATCTTGCTATTATTAATTTACTGCATAAGTTAACTAATTAATTTAATTGGCTAATTTCTGAAAGGCTTAATATTTTTTAGACTTTATTTTATTTATGAAATTATTAATGAATTTGTTTTTTTTTTTTTAAATCTACATAGAATTAATAATTTTAGTTGTTGTTAAGCTTGTTGCTATTGCGTTCTTTTCTTTTTTTTTTTTTTAAATTGATTCTTAGTTATAAACAAACATACATTCATACACTATATATATATATATATATATATATGAATGTATAACCTTAAGCTTCAAGGCAACACAATTTTGTTGTTTATTTTATTAGTTTTTCCCTCGAAAAATAATACAGACATACATATACATATACAAAGCCATGTACAGACAAATTCATACGTTTAGGTAAACTGTATGAGAGTGTGTGAGAACGTGACTCTTTACCATAAAAGAAAATAACGTAATATTGCATAATTTCTACAAATTGCCACATGTTAGCGTATGATGATGATTGTTGTTGCTGTTTTTGTTGTTTGCAATGGTGTTATTGCGAATGCTGTTACTGCTGCCGCAGCAGCGTGCAGCTGCTGCCATAGTGGTTTTCTTTCTCTTTGTTTTTCTTATGGTTAAACAAATGATAAACAAATCACTGTTGCATTTCGTTTTTTTTTTCTTTTTTTTTTTTCCAACCATGGGAAATGGGAAATCTTTGTTTGTATTGTTGTTGTTGTTGTTGTCATCGTCTGTTTTGTTTTTGTTGTTTTTGTTACGTCTAACAGCAAAAAAAAAAAAAATTCTTTGGAAATTCTTTTTCAGTTTTCGAGTGGTGGGTGTTACTGCGATTTCCACCTAACATGACTACCTTTTCATACCAGACAACAGTTTGAATAATATTTACATGTGATTAGAAATAGATGTACACAACAAAAAAAACTACAACAACAATAATAATAATAATAATAATAGAGAGAATTTTTCAAGTCAATGATGTATAAGTTTGTGCGTGTGTTAGCTTATAAATACGTACATATATGGTGATATGTAAATATTGTTGTGTTTAAAGTTAATTTAAGAATATATATATATATATATTTTTTTTTTTGTTTTTTCAATTATTTTATTGTGTTTTTTTTCTTCTTTTCCCCCCTGTCATTAGTAAATAATTATTCAACGCAAATTAACTGTAAAAAGAATTACATTAAAGTTGAACTTAATTTAAACGATTCCATCAGCAATGCAGACATCTATTTAGAGAACTTGAAGGATTATCCCGTAAAAGATTGTCAAGCTATTAAGGAAGGCAATCGAAGAAGTTTTCAGTTCAATTTAAAAGATTTCCATCAATGCGGTCTCACAAAATCCAAAAACTTATGGACCGTAAGTATAAAAAAATAAATAATTTCTAAAGATTTTTTTTCTTCTTATTATTGTTTTTGTATAGAAATTAAAAAAAAATAAAAATTTTTTCTTTAAATTATTTAGGGTCTCACTACTTATTCCCATAGGATTGTTTTGGATTATTTAAACAATACTCAGGAATTTGTTTATTTAAATTGCACTTATAAATCTTTGCCGAAGAAACATCATATAATTAAACGTGATTTGCTACCGGAAGGTTTCGTAGAGGATGAGTTCGTACTTATTTAGCGGCGGGATTTTTTTTCCATTTTCAATTTTTTTGCTTTTTAGAGATTTTGAATTAACGGACACTTTAGTGCAACAGGCCCCGGAACCGGAAGTTCTAATGCAAATTAAACAAAACAATGAAATAGTGACAGGAAATTTGACTATAGTCTCTGGCACTCCTTTGCTCATGGAAATTAAGCTAAATGAAGAATCCGCCAAAATTTATGGTTTAAAAGCGAATTTTTTAGAAGTTGGCAACACGCTAGAATTGAATGAAACCATTCTATTTAATGGGTGAGTCGTGCAATAAAATAATATAATAGCAAGGGGCTTACCCCTTATATTAAAAAAAAAAAAAAAAAAAAACATTCCGATCCGCAAAATATTTTCTTAAATATGCACAGGTCAAATGGTGATTATAATCAGTTGGTTTAGCTGTCTATATGCAAGATTTGTATCAGCTTTTTGATCAATACCAGCTATCTGCTATCAGCTGTACGGGTGTTATTGTCAATTGCGGGCACCTTCTATGAGATTAACGCTTTCATAGAGTTTCCCCTTAAGTGTAATTCATAAAAATTGGAATCAGAGATCATCTCTTGTAGGTGTTAGTTTTTGATCAAAGTGATACCTTGAAATGATCGAATGAAGTACGCGCCATGCATTGTTTTCATGAAATCTGTAGAATTCAGTCAAGAGTATGTTCAATGATTAACTAACTGATCTCACTCTTGAAGACATGAAGACAATTTTTGCTACCATCTTCCAGCTAGATCCAAGAGGAGTTAATTGTTAATCCTCTCGATATTCAAACAGAGATTGAATGACAATAGGTGCTTGCCTATATTCTGATTATTTTTGCACTTGAAAAAGGCATTTATTAAGAAAAATTCGTATAACATATATTAGTCAAAATATTTTCTTTTATTTTGCACAACTTTTTTCTATTTTTCTGGCGATACGACGATACCGTGTCGAAAAAATGATATTTTTTGCCAGCATTTCTTCAGCATTTTGAAATTGCGTGCCAGCCAAGCAATGCTGCATCGATCTGAACAAGTGCTAAAGAGAAAAATATATATCTGGCGAGGAAGCTGGGTGCAGCAGAACTTTCTATTCGTATTGCAACAGTGTATCTTTAACAAGTCTTGCAACGTGTGACCAAGCATTGTCATACAAGAGAATGACTTTGCCTTTGTTAACCGCTATTGCTCGTTTTTTTTGCAATACATCGTTCAATATATGCAACTGATGTTGATAGACGTCTGTAGTCACAGTTTCATTCGGTTTTAGCAGCTCGCAATTTACTACACCTTCCTGATCCCACCATATGCACAGCAAATGAATATTCTGCTTCGTTGTTGATGTGGATAGCTCTCCTGGACTAACCTATGATTTTTTGCATTTCGGATTGTCACAGTGGATCCACTTTTCATCTCCAGCTACATCTGTTTTTTGCCTGGCAAGTAATGGAACCGCAATGTTGAAATGGTTCGAAATGGCTTTTGCAGTCAATTCGTATGGTAACCATTTTCCTTTTATTTGGATCTTTCTCAAGCCATGTAAACGTGTAGAAACAATTGATTTATCAATTGCTAAACTGTCGAAAAGTTTTTTGAGATTGTTGAGCTGGGTTTTCGTCCAATAAGTACTGCGTTTTTTTGTCTTGGAACTTTTTCCATACTCCAGGCCAGTCTTTATCATTGACGTCAATATCAGCACTGAGACTGACTGTTGAGAGCAAAACCGACAAGTGGGATATGATAAAGCAGCATTACCGTAAGCTCTTAAAAGTGTTTGATGGGCTTTGGTAATAGATTTCTTTAAATCAAGCAACAAGAGTAATGAATGTCGAAAATGTAATTTGAGCGTTCCATGATTACCGTCTGTATACACTGAAGAACGCACTTATATTAACTAAATGGAAACTGTTATTTTACATAGAGGAAGGTCAAAATTATTGAACCGTTAACCGTTGCGTACGTTAATACATCACCACTGCTCAAAATACATGCAAGCACTTAACGACTCAGGCAAATAATTAGCTTAAAATATTGTAATATGATCGATTAGAATCAAATGAGATGCGATTTGTCTCCTTTAGACACTCGTTTAAAAAATTATGAAGGCGCGCTAGGGTTTTTTAATAAAGCTGCTACTTATACCGACGTTGAAATGCTTGAATGTCAAGTCATTGTCGCCATATTTTATAAGTTTTGAATGGGAACGTGCTCAGCCAATCATAAGCTTTATATGATGCTATCAACGATTTTACTCACATATCTATGACATATATGCAAATTCGATATCTCGGAGCATTTGAAGCAACAAATATAATAGTGTGTGTGTAGTTTACATAAATTCTTATTGTACGAGGTTTACATAAACTACTTGTAATTATATCTTAGACAGTTTGTGATAAGGGTAGCAATTAGATAGTAAATGTTCAGTGTGCTTCGCTTTAGTTTACTTCACAGTAAAGTAAGCAAACTACAATGCCCTTTGATGGCGACTGGAAAAACTCTTATTCCATGTCCGTGCGCGTCTTAGACAACTGTCATAAGGTTTACTTTTGATTGGCATTGTGCTGTAATAAGGGTAGGAGTAGGAATTTGATAGTAAGTGTTCAGTGTGCTTTGCTATGGTTTACTCTACAGTAAAATAAGCAAACTACAATGCCCTTTGATGGCGACTGGAAAAACGCTTATTCCATGTGCGTGTGTGACTTAGACAGCTTGTGATAGTAAATTATCATATGGTCTACTTTTGATTGGTGTTGTGCTGCAATAAGGGTAAGGATAGCAATGTGATAGCAAGTGCCCAGTGTGCTTCGCTATGGTTTACTCTACAGAAAAGTAAGCAAACTACAATGCCCTTTGATTATGACTGGAAAAATTCTTATTCCATGTCCGTGTGTGACTTAGACAGCTTGTGATAGTAAATTGTCATAAGGTCTACTTTTGATTGGCGGTAATGCGGCGATAAGGGTAAGGGTAGCAATTTGATAGTAAGTGTTCAGTGTGCTTTGCTATGGTTTACTCTACAGAAAAGTAAACAAACTAAAATGCCCTTGATTATGACTGGAAAAATTCTTATTCCATGTCCGTGTGCTACTTAGACAGCTTGTGATAGTAAATTGTCATAAGGTCTACTTTTGATTGGCGGTAATGCGGCAATAAGGGTAAGGGTAGCAATTTGATAATAAGTGTTCAGTGTGCTTTGCTATGGTTTACTCTACAGTAAAGTAAGCAAACTACAATGCCCTTTGATTATGACTGGAAAAATTCTTATTCCATGTCCGTGTGTGCATTTCCTAGCTTGCTTTAGAACGTTGCCTAAATGAATGAAATTAACTTTTCATAACTGAAACTTACAGCAAGGCAAAGAAGATTTTTTAATAATAGAATCGCTTTTTGATTAGTAATTATGCATAAAAAAATCCTTCTTTCAGCTGTACAGTTGATCCATATTTGTTCGATAATTTTAATTTAACTGAAAATGAGTATTTACTGGCGAAATTTCGTGCCTTCAAATTTCCCGATTCATCTTATGTACAATTTCGAGCCAACGTACAAATATGCCTGAATAAATGTCAACCGACTCAATGTTCCAACGGGCAGACGGCTTATGGACGTCGCAGAAGACGTGAACTGAGACGACAAGCATATGAAATATCTTTAAATACTTTATTACAAGTAAAAGACCGAACGGATAATGATGATAATAAAGGTTAGTTTTGAATTCGTAAATGAAATTTATAGCTGAAGTAACAGTGATTTTCTCTACTTTCAGCCATACATGAGGAGCTACAGAAGCATCTGAAAGACTTAAGAGTTAAAAATTTATTCTTAAAACATTGAAAGCGAATTTTTTTAAAAATCCCAAGAAATGTGAAAAAATTATGAAATGGAATAAAAATGTAATAAACTGTTTTCGTTATCCATAAAATTAAATCTTAAACTAACCAGCATTACATATATGTGCTTGACTTTGGGTGGATCTATGTAATCTATAAGCTTTTACTATTGTGGAAAGGTTTCGAATTCTTATCATCTTTAGCAAGTAAATGGGATTCACAAAGGTTCGTTTTTGTCATTGAAAGATTCGGAAGACAACATTCCGATTACTCTTACACCTTTAAGTTGAATGGAAGTTCAAGAATTAATTACGTTTTCCTTCTTGGATAAAGTTTTGAAAATATGTTGCATTAAGTGGATGTATAAACACTGCATAATCATTTACACACAGTTGTCCTCTTTTTTGATATTAAGGAGATACATGCCACGTCATTCTGCATATTTGCGGTCTAACTAAAACCAAGTAAGAAAATTATATTCGGCCGTGACCGTATCTTTTAAACCCATCATCGTTATCCTAAAAAAGACAAAAAGGTGAAAGAAGAAGAGAATTTTTGTGGTATACAATATCGAGTGGGCGCGGCGGACAGATGGATATGCTCAAATCGATTTAGAATTTGATATTGATGAAAAATATATATACTTTGTGGGATCTCTGATGTTTCCTTTTGATCGTTGCAAAAGGGGTATGACGAATAAGTTCTCCCCTTTTACCTATTTTTACTTTTGAACACATGTCATGAATGCCTGCGGGTAAAGGTGGTAATTGATCAACAAGCACAGTGGAAGCCTTATGGCGGAAGCAGTCAGTTGATCAATTGGTGAGTCCTGACTACTGGGTGCGGCCCTTCGGGGAGTACTCGTGGTGGTTGTGGTTGGCGAGTTCCTAGCTAAAATGGAACAATGAGTGCAGCTAGGCCCTCGCCACTCACCAGAGTGGGGTTTATTGTTCCATACACAATAAACTGATCTGGACTCTGGTGCTGTTTAGGCCCCTACTCTGTGGGGATTGTCTAACTCGCCAGGGGGCGTAGTACGCTTAAAAAGTGGTTTGGGCCACCGTGGGGTTAAGCCTTACAGGCAGGAACCCACGTTAAACCCTTGCCACAAATTCTGATCGTTGCAAACGTCCTGACAAAATGAATATACTCCTCATTCTGCAGGTATGTAAAAAGCAAATATTTTTATTGAAATCGCCTTTAATCGCCATCAACACACGTTTGTGCGAACGTTCGTAACACCCACAAGTTCTTAACAAAGACCGATGTTTATGTCTGCCCATGTATTTTAGTACTCAGCCTATAGACGCAATTTTCAAGATATTACGGTTTGATGAAATTTAGTAAACTTGACGTGTTCTGGCCTTATTTTGATAAATTTTTATGAGAGAAAATATTGTAATTTTTTGAATTTCGCGACAAAAGTCGCTTAGTAATGGTGTTTCGTCATTCTGAATTGAAATGAAAAGCTCGAATTGGATGTGACAAATTGTAAACCCCTTTCCCTTAAACCGCCTGAATCATGATATATTGGAAAAATGTCTAATTTTCAATACTTCTCGATGAAAATTCATTCGTAATAATAATTCGATATAAAAATTAATCTTACCGAATAGGGATCACGTAGACCTGTTTTTTCGATCCCGAGTTTTATAAAAAGAGGATCTAATTTTTAAAATATAATAATGAAAATTTGTCCTTATCAGTTCAGTCGCAAGGAATTTGCATCACATAGATCTACTTTTCTTACCGTACCATATATAGAGTCTCTCATGAAGGCAAATAATTCTATGGGGAGAAAGGCTATTTGCTGCTTGTTATGAAGGAAGCAAGTACATTAAGGTTAGTAAATTTAGATCACTTTGGCGTCCGTTATAAGGGCTTTCATGAAAATTGTCCATTTACATGAAAGTAATGTATAAGTTTTGGTGTACCATCAATTAATGGAAGTGGTGTAGGGTATTTAATGTGGCCACCCATGTCCATTTATAGTCCGGAAAGACTTGAGATAGATCCACCTTTTACAACACCGATCCATTCAGAATCACTGTTTGAATGGGCTTAAGTTTGTATGTCCGTCTGTCCGTCGATTCATTTTGTTTTGCTGTGTTCAACTGCAATTTTCAAAATATTTCTATTAAGTTCGCTACGACGACGTGTTTTATTCAAAAGACGAACGCTATTGAAAATCACTTGGATAGAATAACTTTTTCGACCTATTCTTATATAAAGTTTTCTTTCAAAAACTCGTTATATAAACAAACTGTGGGGTGATGTAGGAATGGTGGACAATAGCTCGCCATAGTGTTTTTACTTGTTTTTAGTACAGATTTTGTAATGATTCAGGGGAAGTTATCGGCACAACACCCATCTTATTTTCCCAACCCGCTTCTACTTCCACCATAACTTAACAATGGGGAAAGAGAGATTTCTTCCGATAAAATCCATGCCCTTTCAAAGGCCATCCATTGGTCGGGAGAAAAGGCTAGAACAGTGGGCAATTTTTATACCATTCTTCAGTTGTGTTTTATGATTGGATCTGCACCCAGACGGACACGGTTTTCTCTCTCTCCTCCTCTCTCTATTTTTCGCTTCGTTGGGAGAAAAGGCTAGAACGGGGATCAATTTTTGTAGGATTCTGCGGTTGTGTTTTATGATTTGATCTGTATTCAGACAGACAAGGTTTTCTCTTTCTCCTCCTCTCTCTATTTTTCACTTTTGCTTTCTCTTCTCCTTTTTATTCTACTGCCAAGATTTATTCTGTATTACTTATGCGAATACCATATAGTGGATACATAAAATAGTTATAAGAGCAATTTTTTTATGAACTTCTTCTAAAAATTTACCGTTTCTGGTGTTACAAGCACTAAGTGTAACGTTTGATTTACTTTAGAAAACAAAAAAAAAAAAAAAAAAAACATTTTTTTTATGTGCGTAACAAAATAAATGGGTTTATAATCACCTAGTTGATATTCTAAACATTCTCAAGTTCGTGTTATAATCGTGTGTTAAAAAATTTTATGGAATTTTACAAAACAATTCCCAAAGTGGAACAAACAAGTTTTTCTCGAAGAAAAATTTCTAGCTTTAAGTTTTAAGTTTGTTCTCATTTTTTTTTTATTATTTTTGCTTTAATATTTGTACCTTGCAGTTATCTACCATTAGATACTGAGTGCGTAGTTAAGAATGCGTAACTATCTACATATATGCGCTTATATATGTGCGTCAGCGGTAAAAGAAAAAAAGAGCAAATAATTGATAAACCGTGATTAATGTGCGTGAAACGTTAAATGAGAGCACGTTGTCGTGGGTAAAAAACAACTTTAATTGGGTCAAAAAAAAAAAAAAAAAAAAAAAATGATAACTATGGGTTACTGGAAAGCGGCCAAGAGTTTTCTTTAAAAATACAAAATAAAGTATTCTTCGTCATTTTTATGCCATCACCGAAGGGTGGGGGAATACTCGTTAAACGTTAAAGCATTTCCAACACGGAGACGAGAGGTCCACAGACCTTATAAACGATATTCTTCACCATTATCAAATTCCTATCGAGGTAGGCATGTCTGCCTGCCCGTTCCGCTATATGGTCGACTGTCAGGTTGTCCGGTTTGTAGCTCGCTGTCCAGCTGCCCGCTTGCCAGTCTGTCCGGTTGTCCAGCTCTCCGCCTGTTCGATTGTCCGTAAGTCCGTTGGTCTAGCTATCCATCTGTTCGATTGTTCGTCTGCGCGGTTATCCATCTGTTCAGTTGCTCGTCTATATAAAATCGATCGGAGAAACTTCTTTATAATCAATCGCATTAAAGATAATATCGGCATCAAATTTGCAAAATTTTTGTAAATACTTGCACGCAGATTGGTATTGAAAATGAATTAAATTATCCAAAAACACACCCACAGTAGAACATAAGCTGAGGACCTCTATATTTCCATAAAAAATCAAATTTTTTTTTTGAAGGTCGTTACCAATAAATTACTATTCAACAAACAACAACAATGAAAGGGTCGATATTTCAACAGTGTCTGTTGAAAAACGAAAAAATCGGCCACGTCTATCCAATATTAATATTATAGTTCATATTAAAGTTCATATTAATCATTTAGAGTTTTTTTTTTAAAAACACAATAGGAGATGGTGATATGGGAAGTTTCGGCCACAGATGTTTCATAAAAATTTCATAATTTGTTTATCTTGTTAACAATGCAGGGTTAAACTATGTCAATGAAGTCGACCTGCTGTTATATAAGTTAAATTATTTTTATTTCCTTGGGTTTACTAATCAAACGCAATTTATTTTTTGTAATTTAATTTAACAATTTATTTCTTAAGTTGTTGTTAAATGGATAGTTGATAAAGAGACTGACTTTTCTTATCGATTTATAAAACAGGAAACCTCGGTTTTAACCAATAATCCACAGTCAGCATTTATTTTTATTATAGGGTGAAATGAGATATCTGTGGGAGATGTTTACGGTAGGGTGCCATTGGATATCGGTGAGAAGTGTTTACGTTAATTTTATATGAGAAGTGTTTACATTAACTTAATATGACACTTTAGGTCTGTTTATCGTAATTGTGAGGGTGGTTCGTAAGTTTGTTCTTTTTATTAGAATGGCCCTTAACTTATATCATAGAATAGCTTTCCAAAACGATTCAAATCAATTTATTTGCCAACTTTTGATAGTTATTTGTGATTCTTAAAGCTCTGCGCGAATGTAATGAAAGTTCAAAGTAAATTTTGTTTTTTTAACAACAGCGGAAATGTTTGAATACCTTCAGCTCCAAAACTCTCTCTTTCTCTCTCTCTCTCTCTCTCTCTCTCCCTCTCCTATTTTTATACCCATCACCGAAGGGTGAGGCGTGTGTGTATTCATTTGCCAAAACGTTTGCAACGCCCAGAAGAAAGCATCAGAGACCCCAAACAGTATATATATTCTTGATCAGCATCGCAGTCTTAATTGATTTAAGCATGCCCGTCTGTCCGTCTGTCCGTCTCTGCATCTGTCCGTCTGTGTAATGTCTGGTGCAAACTTTCTCCTCACCGCAAAAATGAAGTTATCGGCTTCAAATTTGACAAAAGCAGTGGAAGTTCTTGCATGCAGGTTCGTTATGAAAATAGGTCAAATCGGTCGAAGGACACGCCCACAGCACCACGTAAACTCAGAATACCTTTGTTTTTCAAACGAAATGACAAATTGAACGCATATTCTATGGGGGATGCTGTAGCGTCTGTGCACAAAAATGGGAAAAATTAACCACGCCTATCCAATATTATAGTGTATCAAAATTTAATTATGTTTTCCGTACCTTTATAACAACCAGAAATAAGCTTCAAAAGCCCCATATACAAAATCTTGGCCAGTTACAACTCTTAAATGGACCTAAACATTTCCGCCTGCTCGTTTGGCCATTTGGGAGCGATCATAATTTAGTGAATCTGAGTCCATGCCTTTAGTGTTATGACTGAGCATTCACTGTAGCTGCATCCAAGTGTGCTTAAACTGCATTGAGATTTGCGACTGCGAAAACTGACTTCACAGTCGCGACTCTTATGTACTTAGCTAGGTGGCAGTTAAGAAAATTAAGGAAGGAATCGCACATTTTGAAATAAAAATGATTCCATATAAGATTAGAAAGTAAGTTGAAGTAGCTTGACGAATCTTTAAAGAGATTACAATGTGAAGCTTGAAGGAATGAGAATGTCAGCAGGAAGGCAGCTAAGTCAAAAATATTAGAGGATAATGCTGAAAGTGTTGAATTTAGCCAATGGCCACAGTCGGAATAAATGATAGCCTTTTAAAAAGAATTAATAATCTTTAGAATGATCAGCGAGGCCTGGCAGCGCAGGAAACGAACATCGTTCATCCAGGCTCTGCAGAAAAAAACATTACCCTGGCTTGAATTATTCGATTAAAATCTATATTAAAACTTTGGGTAACACTGCAATTAGTTAATATATGAAAGAATTGGATGACGTTGACTCGCGGTTTCCATCCGACGATACGTATAATCAACGGAAGATTTGGTTTACGCAAAACGAAATAAAGCGTGCATTACTCTTACTAAGAAAGTCTATGCATATTAATCGACGATCTGTGCGTATAATGCAATAAATTGAATTGTGTGCATCCATGCGGGCATATGATGTTTGCTTTGCATGTTTAAATTCGCTTTTAGGTTTTTAAATTTTATGAATGATTTTAAATCCAAAGTTCATCAAATTATTTCCTTCTACTCATTCTTTGGATTAAATTTAAGAATTATTTATCTATAATTGAGAGTAGATAACAATATACGAAATGCTTTTATGTTCATTTCACGAAAGTGCTTCAACTATTACAACCGAAGCCAGAGCTATCCTTCACGCTGCGAACCTTTCTCAAAAAGACAAACTCAAAACCCTCGTTGTTACTGACAGTGTGTGTCGGTCTTAAACGCTATAAGGAATCCTTCGATTTCAAGATGGAGCACAATCAGCAAATTAACGAATATCTTTATAAGGCCCGGTGAAAAAATCGGTTTATGAGGACAGGAACGCTGCTTCTGCATCTCTAATTATGGATGATGTCATGGATGATGTTGGATCTTCAGATCCAACTTTTCCATGCACTGGAAGTAAAGTTAAATAGAAAGCAGGGCAAATTTGTCCGAAACGGACCAATAGAAAAATGGACTTACACATATATGCGAATGAATGGAATCGTAAGACAGAGGTTAACTTAAATTGAGAAACGTATGAATAAATAAACCAATAAGTGAATGGACAGAGAGATGGACAGACAGATACAGCTGCGGACGGATCCGTTGAAAAACAGATTCAATCAATCCAGAATTGTATATTAATATCATAATCATATATTTCCCCTCGCCCCTCATTATAGTTCCAAACCGCAAGCCAAATTTATAATATTTCTTTTGACATAGAGTACCCATAAGAACTTCATTTATTATTTCGAATCAGTTTATAGTGTTTTTTTACAATTTTTTTTGTAACATTTCGATAACTTTTCGACGTAAAAGTTTTCCCGAACCAGTTCTGGGAAGTCGCTCTAAAAAATATATGCCACCCTTTAGATGATATACTGGCGGTAATTCTTCTTCAACAAATTGGTAAACTTTTGCCTCATTCAAATTTTCACCTTCAGAATCCTTTGTCTTCACCACAGCACAAGCAACCAGATTTATTTTAATGACATCAGGCTGACCGAAAACACAACATTCCTGTACTCCTCTCAATTGCATGAGAATGTTTTCCACTTTCTCTGGGTAAATTTGTATATTATTCGATTTGAAAACATCGCCAAGTCGTGAGCAAATATGTAAGCAGCCGTCTCCGTCGAAGTACCCAATATCGCCCGTACGGAACCAGTTGTCTGTTAAGCACTTTTGCGTAGCTGTAGGATTATTTAAGTAACCCAACCATTTATATGGAAAGCGACATTGTATTTCACCATGTTCATTGGGTCCCAAAAGATTTTCACTTCTATCGACAATACGTACTTGTAAGTTAGGAGTTAGAAGACCTTCGGTATCAAGTTGACCTAAATAATTACTGGCCAATAATGCACTGATTTCAGAAAACCCGTAAGTTACTAAAAAACGTTGATACTCATTGTCCGATTTCAATAGTTGCAGCATTTTTGTGCTTATTATTGGCAAAACTTTGGAGCCACAACACATCATGGTATCAATGGAGCTCATGCGCTGACCTATGTTAGCTAAGTTGTTCTGCTTTAAACACAACTCTGCCAATTGACTGGGATTCGCTATAACATGAGTTATTTTATAACGTTCGATTAAGTGCAGAAAGTATTCCGGACTAAACGGTTGATTAGTGATTATACGTAGACCACCTTTTAAGAGAGTCTCCTTAAGGACACATAAACCAGACCACCAGTACGTAGAACTAAAAGTAAAGCCTACCGAATTTGCGGTAAATGTTTGGCTAGAGTCGAGAAGAAAAAAAAAAGTTAAAGCAGAATTTTTGTTTCTATTTTCCCAGAAGCAGCTAAACTTACAATCCGTGACAATTTAGCAAAGTCTGATGAGAACATAACACACCCTTTGGTGGTCCAGTCGTGCCGGACGAACATAATATAACAGCCGCATCATCACCGTTTAAGGGAAAGCAAGGAAATCTAGAAAGCATTAGCTTAGGTCCTCTTAAACGCTACTGAAACTTTAGATTACTTACAGCGCCATGTCTGGCAAATGTTCCTTAATCTCCATAAGTCCCGTCACAGACGGCAATTGAGCATCTATACTGGAATGCATTAAATAGATCTTTGCTTTTAAATTCAATTCTTGATTGGCTGCCTGAGCTTTGTAAGAATTTTCCAAATCGCAAAATATAATTTTTGGTTTCGATAGATCGAAAATGATTTTTAATTCATCTAAAAAGTGGGAAAGGATAAGAATGGCTCACGATTGCGAAAGATTTTTTTTTTTATGTTCACCTTTATCGCAACCTTCGTAGGCAGCGTGGGTACGTAAGCCAGTTAACCACGCTGCCAATATCACTGCAGATAAATGCGTTGTATTGCTGGCATATAAACCGATCACATCTCCTCGCATTAAACCCATTGCGACGAAATTTCTGACTATATTCTTACTATTCATAAGTAAATCTTTAGCTTTCACTTGTTCACCGGTAGAATCCATAATTTGCACAACTTTATCGGGAATTAGGTGCAACTGTTCCACAATCGCTTCTCCCAATGTCATTTCGTAATTATAGAAATCTTTTTGTTTAGGTCCCGACCATATTTTATTCGTGCTATCGTAATTTGTTCCGCAATAAACTGGCATCTTGCTAGTTGTCTGAGCTCTCAATAAGTAAATGATAATAGTTGAGGGAAATGAACATTTATAAGGTAATGACATCATGCGCCCTTCTCGGGAATATTAATTACACATACCATATGAGCCAATGTAAGATGATTCCTACCTTTTTCTGATGTTTATCAGAATCAAGAAATCAAGAATCAATAAGAAAATGATAATAGTTGAGGGAAATGCACATTTATCAGCGAATGAAATCTTGCCCGCTTCTCGGCAATATTAGTTACCTATAGTATGCGAGCCAATTCGTCTTTTAGTTAACCTTGACTTTAGATTTATAAAAGTAAAGTTATCTGAAGAATGTTTTCTTATATATACAAATACAAATGTTATCTCATAGAGTGACCGATAATCTTTGTGCGCTACATTGAGGCGTTTATTTAGTTTGTTGATAATACGAATGCGTTATTGTAATAATAGTAACAGTGAAACTCTCTGTTTTGATTGTGCACCAAAAAAAATTTCTCTGTAGAAGTAACAAAAAAAGAAAAAATCTATTTCGTAAAGCATGAAAGCGACGTGTACTTCTACTTGAGTGGCTGAGTAGGTAAAGGGTCGGGACTGACAACACAATGCCTGTGGGCTCAAATTTCAAGTGCTGTAGAGTTTTCTTTGGTCGTACCTATAGTGCGTGGTCAGTCGGTAAAGACACAATGCTTATCAACAGTAGACCGTTTAGTCATTAGACACTTAGCAATAACTTACCGAGTAGTCATATATAAAAAGAAAACTATTTTTTGTAAACAATTCAGCAATAGCGCCGAATAGAGATTTTTAAAGGAATCGAGATTAGTTCGCGCCGATTTTACCAACGGAGTAAGGCTTTCCTTACTTCCATTAGAAAAGCTTCACGCCAATAACTTTTGAAGAAAGCAGTTGAGGCAAAAACTTCAATTATTGTGGTATGGTAATGTCTGGCTATTAAGCACACTACACACTACATTACATTTTCTAGGACAATTCTTTTCCTGTGTTCGTTATAACATATCAACGATTTTACCTTGTTACTTACTTACTTTGCAGAAGAACCCTTACCCAGAGAGAAGTCCTAAGAAGTATGCTTACATCTCACTTCTACTTCTATATGTGAGCCAAGCTGAATATAGATGGTATAGATGCCAAAGATATTCCCATTGAATTTTTATTTCACTGATTCTTGCCGAGATTATAAATTATTTTCACATAACGATTTTTTTTTAGATGAAACATTAAGTGACGAGGTATCGGCGAATAGGAAGAACACAAGCCGGTAAAGCAGTTTCCATCACAATATCTAGAAAATTTGCAGAAAGACGTACGGACAGACATGTTTACAAATAATTCTAAATTGTTTTTTTATAATAAAAGATTAGTTTATCTCAATATTTTTGATTGGTGTGCGACACAACTGCACAAACTATATGAAAAAAAACTTATCAAAAGTACTGTATGATATATAAAAGTTATGAATAAACTTTAAATGAAAATCAACAGAGAATTTTTAAATTAAACTACTGTAAGATCAAATTAGCACACGTTCTCTTTTATTATATAACAAAAAGCAATAGAAAAAATTCTCATACTATCGCATGTCATTCTTCTTATTATTATTAGTAGTATTTTTTAAAGAATTCTTTTTATGAGCTTTTATAAATTCATTTATGTGCATAAGTGTCAAATAAATTTGCTTTTTAGAAAAGTTTAAATTTTATAAAAAAAAAAAAAATAAAGATAAAATTTATTCAAAAGCAATTCATCAGAGTCGACAACTTAAGCTAAGTTTGTGTTATTAAATACTACTTATGGCGCAATAGAATATTATTCTCATAATTAAACCGCATAACCTTCAAAAATTTATTGCATAAGTAAAGTGATTGGTTATGCATTTTCATATCCATCATCGGAAGATCAGATTATGCTAGATTTGTTCTCGCCTTTGTAACACCGATGAATACACATTCTAAGATATATGTATATAAGAATTTTGATGAGAGATTATTAAGATTTTGAATTGTTATAACTATGCCATATATCAGTTCGTCGGTCCGTGTGTGGTTCGGAAGGCCTACTAGTAGAACTAGAAAGCTCACATATTAAATATAAAACTGAATCGTCTCCTGCCAAGAAACAAAAAAAAATCTGTTTTTTTACGTGCAAGAGATAGATAATTTTACCTTTATTTAGTTAATTTAGTAGCAAAAATGTTCCAATCGATTAATTGGATGCGCTCACTACTAGTAAGATACTTTGCTTACTTTCTGTATTGCCAAAAGGTGGCGGGGCAAAAAAAAGAAAAAGCTTTCGCTCAAGCCAAACGTATTTTCTCCTTTTTTTAAAAAATTTTTTTTTTCACAAAATTCTTTGGTTTTTAAATTTTTTTTATTTAGGTAATTAAAGTGCGCGTAACAAACAACATATATCATTTCATAACCAATACAGGTTAATAAATATTGTTCCGTCTAGCGCTGTTGTGCATAATCCGTGAGCGTTAAATTCACGGTTCGTAAAACGATTATTTTTAAAAGACTTAAATATGTTAAGAAATTGTAAAGACGCGAAAAAAGAAAAGTTAAATATTTTTTTTTTTTTGTTTTACAGATGTTCAGTGAACGGAATAATAGACAAATATATGTAATTGCAAACAAGAGTTTTTCAATGCTTTTAATGGATTTAGATTTGAGTTTACCTTTACTTTAGTATGTTCTTCTTCTTTTTTGTAGGTGTTTGCAGTAAAAATAAAAAAAAAATTGGAAACGAAAAGAAAAACAAATAAGAACATTTTAGCAGGACAAGGTCGACAATTAGACACCCTAGCCACCATTTCGCCTTCACTCGTTTTGCGAACGGTACATCAAAAATTGCACATTACTTTCATGCAAAGGCGTATTCTACACATGCGTCCAACCTGAGCCAAATGTAGCAAATTTAAACAATTTCCTAAAAATATTATTTTCCTGAGTTCAAATTACAAATTAATCTTTCTCTTCAGATGAGGGCTAGATTCTTACGATAACCTAGAGTTTAAAAAGTAAACCTATTTGATCCAAATTCCCTACCGTTAATTTTTTGCTGAATTACTTCTATGTATTAATTTTCATCATAAAATAAAATCTTTTTCTGAATGGCGTTACATTCATGACAAACCTTATATGGAGTGTGGTTCAAGAAATAAACCCTTGTGGTCCAAATTTGGTCCACTTAACCTTTTTTTTAAATTACTATCATGAACAAATTTTCATCATAAATCATTAACAATTAGGTCTTTTTGACATCCAATGGCTCACGTTTCCTGAGAATCCCTGTATGCAGTCGTGTCCAAAAAATAGATCTACATGGTTCAAATTCGGTAAGGTTGATTCCTTTCTCAACTTACTATTACGTACAATTCTCACCATGAACTATTAAAAATTTGACCCTTTTATCGTATAAAGATCTGGTTCTCAAAGAAACGTGTATATGAGAAAAGGTTCAAAAAATTGCTTCACCGAAACCAAATTTTTTATACCAATTTGAAATGTACAAATACTATTGTTCAGCGAGTCTTATTGAATGCAATCCAATTTTTTTTCATATAACGATCTTTCAATACGACGTTATATGGGATATGGATGAAAAAATCGAGCGATTCGAATCATTTTCAATAGCTTTGGTCTTTCGGTAAAACAACGTCAGCGTATCAAATTTGCGACCTGTAGGCAAACAGGCGAAAAGACAAGCTTAGATCGATTCAGAATCATTGTCGGATCGATTGGCATAATAAACGATAGGTTTACCTCAAGTCCTTCTAGGTGTTGGGTATGTTTTAATCTAACCTGCACTACAAGTGCAGGAAGGTTAAGGAAGTTTAAGAGAAAATAAGAGTTTCACTTTTGCGTAAGACACCTTTTAAAATATGAAAAAGTCGTTGCATATCGGCTAACAGTAATTACCAAAGTTTCAGCAACTTTTAGGGTTGTAGGAGTTCGCTTCCAAGAAATCAGCAGAATTTTAACTTAAATTGGTATACAGAGAGATGGTCCTCGAAAAGCTCTGAAGCGCATATTAACGACATTAACGACATTAAAATTTATCTGGCGAGTCAATGTCGCCATGTATGTGCGTAGTATAAACGTAATGTAAATCCTTGCTTCTCAAGTGAAGGAAGAGAAAGTGGTAGCAATCTGTTTTTATACGATGCCAAATTCCTCAGCGCGAAAAGCAAGAATTGCTTCTGAACTGATTCTGCGTCAATATAAATCCTATAGGAAGGAGACCATACAACAGGGGCACATTTCATTATTGGACCTTTTTTTAACATAGAGTTGATCAAACTCTCTGGACTATATTTTGTCGAATCTAACTCCTTGTCGTATTTATTGTAAGCTCAATATGGAAAATGAAACGTAATCTTTGTTCAAATACTACCCCACAGTTGACTCTACATTTTCCAATTCTTACGCATCTATAAAGCATTCCGTATTCATAAATCTGTATCACCTTAGGAGCAAGAGCTTCTTGCACTTTTTTTAAGGTGGACTCCAATAAAGTTAAATGAAGACGATGTAGCGAAATGATTCAAATCGGATTGTAGCAGAGAAGAGAGTTTAACATTATCAGCATACATTGGCTTATAAATAGACTTAATCATCGTTGGAAGATAATTGATATAAAGGATAACTAGAAAGGGCCTTGAGTATCTGACTTGGGGGTCTCCTGATGTCACAGGAAAATTGTTCGAAGAGATAGAATTGAACGGAACTCTAAAGCGCCTTCTCTGCCGATAGAAGGATATTCAGTTCAATAAATGTGCGGGGAAGTCAGACAATTAAAGTTTAAAGAGCATTAACTTCTGATTAACTCTATTAAAAACCTTACTAAAATCCATGTACACAACTTAAAGGCAAAGTTAGTGAAGCAGCAAGCCTATAAAACAAATCGTAAACAATTCATAAGACAATTAATGACGATTTATTGAGAGAACGACAGGGTCAATACGCATTTTATATATTGTAAATGTATATAATATATGCATTTAAACACGATTACTCTGGCGAAAATTTGCTATTGATAAAATGTATTACAAAAGTGCTCACACAACAGCTGCAATCTATTGTTTACGATGAGGCTTATTAGCCTAGTATTTTCATACACAAACTATTCCACTAGCTTTACAATGGTTGATAGTAAAATGCCTGACCTCCTATATATTTGTTCATTAACATTATTAATTACCATATGATAACGTAGCCGTTAGTAAGAGTACAGTACAAAACTATTTTTATGCTCTACATCACTTGTGGTACAGATTGTTAAGTTTGCGTGGACATATGTGACAGGCAGGAGGGCTTAAGATAGGACTACATTTTATTATATTATTTCTGAAACTGTCTGTTCGTCCGTCTGCCCGTTTTTCTGTCTGTCTGTAGATTTGTGTTCAAGCTAAAGGTGCAATTTTCATGAAACTTGGTACGTTGTTGTGCTTTGACGCAAGTACGAGATGGTGTAGGGTATTTAAAAGTCGGCCTGGCCCGACTATGATGTTCTTACTTGTTTATATTTGCTACCAATGCCTGACTTTTAATTATATCCTCCTGTACGCCATTTAAATTCATAGGAAAACACGTTTCTTTCCTATCTGGACCGTTCTTGATTCTTTCAATATGTGGCCGCACAATTCAATAAATTATCATATATTTGTGTGTCGTGTTAATACAATCAATATCTTTTATATTACTTTAGAGGTTCTTAAAGAAAAAAAGAAGGTTCTTAAAAAGTCGGTTTTCGCATTCTTTAGGACCTCCTTCAATTATCGGTGCCATGTGTAGGAGTAACTAATAAATGATTTTTAGTGAAAATGATTTCAAAAAAATTGGTAAAAAACTATTGTCTATATATATATTAGCCCTTTGCACGCGTGGGCTCCGGAGCGGAGCCATTTAAAATTGATCTTTAAACTCGAGGGCTCCACTACGGAGATATTGTAAATAATTTGCAGTTCTTAACATAAAAGCAAAAACAAATCGTAAAAACTAGTATTCGAGTGTTTCGCTGTTAGTGACAAATGACGGTCGCGGCTCGCGGATCGTAAAACGAATGAAAAAAAACTTCGAGTGCAAAGGGTTAGAATATTTTTCATGTTCCTCTTGCAGGGCGCGAACATCTGCCAAGAGGACAACCAGTCTGTTACGATTATTTATTAATTTTATTGCTTTTTATTTTTACTTAAGTCATTGAGCAATAATTTCTTGGTTGAAACACAAATATGTCATATGTAATAAATAAAATTCTTATAAATTTCCAAAACTAACTAACTGTTAAACATTAACTGACAATCTATTTCCGTCACTTTTGTATAAAATACTTTGGCTTTAGTGATTTTACTTTTGCTATTTCTATTAAGTGTAAGTTTTCTGCCTATTGTAGTTGGATTTGTATATTTCTTCCTGTTTTTTTAAATCAATCACTCAGGGAAGAGGCATAACGCGGTGAAGGTCAAAAAGACGTAAGAGAAGAGAAGGAGATATGGAGATGATAGGCGCAGATTAGTGGGTGTGTTTCCAGTCGAGTACCGATTGAGCACTGCCTATAGCCACGACCAAAGTAAACTCTAGCGCACTTGCTATCTGAACCTGCAAACACTGACTTCATACTCATTGATGAAATTTTGTACACAGACGAGTTTTGCTCAAACATCAAACGCTATTGAAAATCGTTCAGATCGAACTATTTTTTCAACCATTTTCCTCGTAATGCGTTCTTTTGAAAAACCATTAAATAATTCAAGGTATTAAACTAAGTGATGTAGAGTATTTAACGATGGGCTGAGATCTACTATAGTGGTTTTACTTGCTTTCTATTAAAATTGTGAAAATTTGTTATGCTTTTCCTTTCTTTGTTTAAGGTCCTCCTAGATAATCCTGATAATAGCTTCCTTAGAATATGATTTTATTAAGCAACATAAAAAATATTAAGCCTAATAATAATCATAGTTCGAAATTTAGCATAAATCATTAAAGTTTTTTTTTTTTAAATTGTTTTCCATATATGAAGATATAATAAAAAAACAATAGACTTAAGACTCAAACTTAAAAAAAAAAAAAAAAAATTTATATTAGCATTTGCCTGCCGTCAGTCACAGACAAATATTTATTTCGAATAAATTTAAAAAAAAAGAGGAAAAAAAAAACGAAACATATGCAAGAAAAAATAAAAACCTTATTTTCTGTTTATATTACAAATGAAATGAATCATCAGCTGTGTGCGCTGTTAAAACTGGTATTCCTACTGTGTTGAATTTTGTGGTGGGTAACAAAAAGCAATAACAGCAACAACAGCAAATACAATGGCAACAATTCAAAACCAATTGATAACAAGTGAAAACATTATAGTCGGGTTAGACCGACTATAAATGAACCCACATTACAGTGTCTAACACAACTTTTAGTTTTACCATAGAATAAAAAAAGTATACCTTTTTATAAATAAAACCATACTTTCCTTAAGAATGGCTATGTCCAAGAGGTTCAAAAATTCAGCAAAGTTATTTCATCATAAAATATTAAAAATTTTACTTTTCTGCCTCAAAAAACATTAATTTTCGCGAAAACCCCTATACAAGGTACGATTCAAAAATAGGCGTGGGTGGTTCAAATAACGTAGACTTCATTTTTATCTCAAATTACTATTATGCCCTGAAAAAACATAAACTTTCGTGAAAATCTCTACACAAGGTAAGATTCAAAAATAGGCGTGATTGGTCCAAACTACGTAGAATTCATTTTTATCTCAAATTACTCTTATGCGTCAATTTTCATCATAACATATTAAAAAAAAGGAACAAAAATTTTCGTGTAAATCCTTACGTAGGATAGAATCCAAAAAATAGGCCGAGATGGTCAAAATTTGCTACGGTTAAATTTTTTTTACTAAAATTACTATTACGATCCAATTGTCACCATGAAGCATTGAAAACTAAAACTTCCTGTCATACGTACATCAGTTCGGAGGGGGTTCAGAAAAATTGCTCCAGCTGGTCCATAGTTTTCATGTCAATTTCGAATGCCGAGATGCTCTTACTTAGCCACTTTGGTCGAAACAATTGCAATTGTTTTCATACAACGACTTTTCAAATAAGGCGTTATATGGGGAGTGTGTCGAAAAAGTGGGCCGATCCGAATGATTTTCAATAGCGTTCGTTCTTGAGTCAAATTTCATCATCCTATCTCGAAAATTTCGGAACTATGCCTTGAACACATATTTACATGGACAGATATTAGATGGGTAGGCAGGTTAAGATCAATTCAGAAAATGATTCTATCTTAAATCTTTCTGCGTGTTACATACGCCCTGGTATATTTAATACACCTTGTACCACAAGCTGTGTAGGGTATAACTACGAAACTCGCAACAACTGAACAACAATTCAAGTTACGTTTTAGCCATAATTGCTGTTAGTTGGCGTGTAACTGGCCGTAGAGAAAGACGTGCGCGTGCGCAAGTTACTAAACAGGATTCATTGAATTATTATATAAAGCGTAAATATATATACATATATATTATATGTAAATGTCTCAGAAAAGAAGAACAAAAAAAATATTTTACATATATAGTTTAATTAGTACTTTTAAGTAAATCAGTAAAACGAGAATTAAAAAAATTGTAACAAAAAAAAAAAATAATTCTATCATAGCAGTTAAAAAAAAAGCAAAGCATATTAAAAAAGAAATATCCAGCGAAATAAATTGTGTAAGCAAAACGTGTTAATAACATTTTCAAATGTTGGCCTTAAAGTAATCTCATAAAAAAGTTTTTTTTTTTTTTGTTTTTTTTGTTTTTTTAAAAGCATATATCCGGTCCATTAAAGCTTTAAAAGGCTACAAAAAGAAAAAAGAAAAAAATAAAAAGAGAAAAAGAATTAATTTATTTTTTTTTGTATTCAATTCTTTGAAAAAAAAAAAATATTAAATTATTTTTTAAACCTTTAGTAACGATGTCTATCATAAATTTTTGGCGTAATTTTCACATTTCAATATTTATTGGATTTACTGCCATTTATGGATTAACACAAGCAAAAGGTAAGAAATATTTTTTTCCTCTATTTTTAAATCCTCCTACAGATCTTTATCATATGATGTCATTCTATTTACAAACATTTATATTAATCGTCAATCGTATTTACAAAAGAAAAAAAATATAAAAAAATAAAAAATTTGTTTTTAAAAGTTTTTAACCTCAATTTTTTTTTTTGCAACTTATTCTCTACGCGGCTCAATGTGAGTTTGCTATAATCGTTTATTTTACATCAGTATTTTACAATAATATCTGAATGACATTGTATCACATGCCGTCTGACTATTGTTGTATATGCATTAGATGGAGGTATTTGCGAATTCTCAGTAATCTCAGCTGCTGTTATTGTAATATTATTATTATTGTTGTTGTTGTTGTGGTTGCTGTTGCTGTTCTTTAACGTTCTTACTGTTTTTGTTTTTTTCTTTTTCTTTCTTTTTATTATTTTTTTGTTGTTATTGTTGTTCCTGCTTTTGTTGATACTAAATGTCGATCAGTTAGCTAGGCATGCATGCATGAAGAACATTTAACTGTTGTTTATTCATTCGTAGACATAGAGTGAATTATGTAAATTTTTCTATCATCAAACACTTGCTATGCTTTAGAATTTATTAGATTTATGCAGTCAACCAACTGCACTAACTTGAAAAAAAAAAGTGAAATATTTTTTTTTTTTTTTTTTTTTTTGCTATTGTTCGATTTTTTTTTTTCGGTTTTAAATTTTTTCGCCGACTTTTAAGAGATCAAATAATTCAATCTTTGTCTTTAGCGTATTTTAAAAATATTTTTAATGATTCTCTTAGAAATTTTAGGTATTAACTTAAACGAGTGTAAGCACGAAAACTGCTGAGTAATGCCGAATTTAGAAATTTTGAAGGAAACCTTATGGCCGAACTAAGTGTGTAATTATTTCGCTTAAATTCTTGCCCAGCGAGGGGTCCTATAGTAAAATTTTCCGCAGTGTGTGTTGTTGAATTATTTGAACAAAGCGATTAAATATATATGTGATTGTAAGAAATCTTAGGAAGTTTAAGGAAAGAATCACAGTTACTTTTCATTTTATAAGGAATTTACAAACGTACATGTATGTATGCAGTCATCGTTCGTGGTTGTGTCTTTCCTTAACTATAAACATAAGTAAAAGTTTATCATCATCATAACTGTGTAACAAGTCATAAGCTACGTTAGTCTTTAGATGCTTCACTTCAACATATTGCTGACGCAACGTCTCTAAAGCAGTTTGAATAAATCGTGGTGTGGGGCTATCTGCCCTATAAATACAATAATGAGAAATACCAAATGGTTTTAAAAATATATTTATAGAAGAAAACGTCCGCTTTGGATATGCTATTAGGAAACCTTTGCAAGCATTTCGACACCGACAAAATTCCAGGCAAAGTATGAATTGATAATATTTTTTAAAGGCAGCCATACACATATAGATGTGTCTCAAAACTTGGATTAGATCCTCCCAAGCTGGATATATATCGAAATTTGAGTTACATCAAAAGCCTCCAATTAATGACAAGCAATATGATATCAGTGAGGATACGGTGCTGCGACTATGTGAAGGTTTGGAGAACGAAAGTCGTAAACTACCTTTAGATACTAAGATTACGTTCGTCGTGGATATGATAAGAGAGTATAGTAAGTATATCTGAGAATTCTAGTAAGCATGTTGCAGGCAAGTAGTTGCAAAAGTGTGAGCGGAAATCAAATTCCGTTGCCACATTCTCTAAAAATGCCAATAATATCGTTCACTTGATTTCTTCTTACGCCGCTGTGAAACCTGAGGATAATGTACAAAAATAGGACTGTAAAATGGCGAATCGCTTATCAATAGCAAGACTTTTTGTTGAAAAAAAAAAATGTTTTTTTTTTATTTATTGTTTTTAAACAAATCCTATAAAAGAAAGAAAAAACTTAATTATTTTTTTTTGCCATAGTAAAAATGGTCCCTAAAGGGGTTAATAAGGGACATAAGGACATAAAGCATTAATAATTGAATCAACTCAAAACCTTAAGCACGTCATCTTCGCAGGCATTTTATAAAGTCGCTGAGTTACATATCTAAAGAAACTGAGGAGTAGACTGCCCACATATGTGGTCAAGAGCTTAAAGAGATTAAAAATATCCCAGCATTAAGAACTTAATTGTCATGATTGACCTTGAGCAGACTAATTTTGAAAATAGGCATGATGTGGCCACAAAAATGCTTGCTTTACCTAAACATTTGTAAAACAAATTTTGGAAAAAATTCCTGCTATATAAACACTTAAGAGTAAAAATCATTCCGATCGACTTGCAGACACATTATCCAAAAGCTTAACGCGTTTGCAGATGTTGCGTAGCCGAGATTCGCTTTAGAACAACTAACACTTCTTTATTTATTATCTGCTGCTAGATTCTTTTTTATGGCTCGATTCTGTGAATTTTTGTTCCGTTGTTTTCCTCTACTTATTAGAAATTTTATTGAATTCATTTCATTTACTCTTAAAGTTAATAATAATAAAAAAAAATGCATTAATCATATCACCGGCATCGACATCAAACATTTCATAAAGTATGTAAGAGTTTGATCAAGCAATGTCCGTCTTTCCGCCTGTCTGTCTCTTTAATGTTGTTATAATGCTCGCAATCACAAAAGATTAGCTAGAATACTGAAATTTCAATTATATTTTTACGACTTGACGGAATAAGCAACAAAGATGCCATAAAGAAAAATATATTTGATTGTAGCCAAGACTTTTACCATCTTCACCGCCTTTATCGTAACAAGTAAGAAAATTATATTCCGTCTTGACTGAATCTTTTATGCCCACTACCATGATCCTAAGAAAGTCGAAAAAGTAAAGAAAGCAAAATAACTAAAGTCTCATCCTTCTGCATAACCTTGGATGGGCGCGGCAGAGATGAATTTTTTATTACGTTTCTCACTTTATGAGGATCGTTTTCAATACTAAACTGCTTGCAAGAGCTTCTATGGTTTTGGCCAAATGTAAAGTCGAAAACTTCACTTTCTCGGCCAGAAGAATGTTTACCATAGACATTACGCAGAGGGACAGACGGACAGACGGACAGACAGAAATTGATGCTGATTACGAATATATATACTTTGTGGCATCTCCAAGTCTTCTTTCTGAGCGTTGTAAACGCTTTGATAAAATGAATATATTCCCCATCCTTTGGTGACGGGTATAAAAAAAGTCTTAAACGAACCAAGCGGAGGAAAAACGAAATTATGATATTCTACAATATTGAATGGGCGAGAATGATTTCACCATCGTCGTGCGGGTACTGCAACACCGCCCATAGAATACACGTTCAAACATTCATCATTGTTTATACACAAAACGTCGCTTTTGACCGATTTGGCCGCGAAACGAGGTGCAAGAACTTTTACTGATCTTATTAAATTTGAAGCCGATATGCTCAAGTTTGTGATAGGTACAATGTTTATCGTACCTGGATGGACGTACAGACATGCCTGGTCAAGTATATATGTAAAATGTGAGCTCTCTGGAGCTCCTTTCTGGGTATCGCAAATGTTTTGACAAAATGAATATACCTTCATCTTTTGATGGTGAATATAAGCGAGTGATAGATTTTATTCTAAAAATATGTTAAAGTCATATCTCAGATTAATTAAAAAATTCACTGTAAAAACAGTTATCATCTCACAATATAAAAAAAAAGTACTTTGCAATTCTTTTAGCTATTTATGAAGAATAGATCTTCTACGGTGGGCGAATCACACAGAGATAATTACGAGAACCCCCCAAAAAAGCATATAAAAAACAACGATCAACGCATAGACATACATGAACTTCACGCTGAGAATAAATACAAAAATTTATGTTTACATTCTAGCTTAAAATGAGCTTTCATCTGGCCGCGTACACGTCCGTCCCATCAGAGACCCCATAAAGCATATATATATATATATATATATATATATATATATGTGTATATATGTGTAACGATAGACGCATAAATACCTCACATTTCGCGATAAGAATAAACATAAAGATTTATATGGATATTTTTGATTAGCGTGAGATTCCATATGCACGTACTTTTGCGTCTGTTCATCGGTCTGTTGTGTGTGTTCTTTGAACACTTAAAGCCGTAAAATTTAGGATAAAAAGGTTAAACCTCATAAATTTTTTCTTACTTGATGACCATAGATTATGTTTGTAAACCGAAGTAAATTGCGTCTAAACTTTCATAAAAAAAATATTTCATAGGAGTATTAAAAATTTGACTATAAACATTGCCCCGATTAGTGAACTGGTTAATTAAACATTAAAAGCATATTAGTAAAATAGTCAAATAAGAAAAGAAACGAAAACACTATGCCAGTAGGCCAGCCAGTACTCAGCCATTTAACTTAAAGAGAATAAAAAATATATAGTTAATGAGTGCAATGTTAAGCTTTGTAGACTGACGGAATTTCTTTTAAGTTCTTTAAAAACCTTAAAGGCACAAATTAAATACATAGCCCATAATAATAGCAATATAAGCAAATTAACTTTGCTCTTCAGAGAGGAAAATGTAAATACTTAAAAATATGAACAACATTGGTTTGAGGAAAAAGTATTGCGATTTTTTTTTTTCAAATTTTTCTATTAAATTTTCTTTTGACAAAACGATGACGAACAAATAGCAACTATCTTCATGACTAACACCATATAAACTAGCTACAAAAGTCTCGCAATACTTTTTCCCTGAAGTATTATTAACGCTTTTTATTATAGAATTGTAGACCATTATACCAACTAGTGATGAAAGCTTTTTAATATTTTCTTCTTAAAATATTATTAATAGTTTTTTTATATAATTATGGAATGCTTTATCGACTAGTGACAAAAATTTCTTAATACTTTTTCGCTAGACTATTATTAATACTTTCCATTATATAATTGTAGACCGCTATACCAATTAGTGATAAAAGTCTCTTAATACTTTTTCTCTAGAGTTATTATTAATACTTTCTATGATACAA